TGAAGTCAGTGCTACTCACCATGTGGATCAGAGACTTGGCCAGCGCGTCATAAATAGCATCTCAAACAAACTACAAACCTTGATTAACAGCTGTCTTTGCTCAATACTTTACTCAAGATCAGATGGCCAGCCAGAAAAGACCAGAAACAGGAATCTCTGGGAGTGAACCAACTAGGAACCGATTGTGAAACAAATAAGCAGGAAGAAATGGAGGTGGATTGGTGGCCATACTCTGAGGAAACCATTAAGTGACATCACTAGACAAGCCACTGCTCGAGTGGATCCCGAAAGGGAAGCGGCGAGTTGGTCGTCAGTGCAAGGGTGACTTGGAGGAAGTGATGTGGATAGGCGATGAAAGCATGTGGGCAGACTTGGAGCGGGGTGAAAAAGTTGGCAGAAAACAGAAGGCAATGGAGACGTGTGGCTGAAGCCCTATGTTCCTCTAGGAATTGAAGGATATAATAATAATAAATAAGTGTTATACTGTAATATTTACTAATGACGTTGCGAGCATAATTTATTTTGTTGATAAAAAATGTCTCTGAATCGTGTGGAAACATTGACTGACTAACTTGATGCATCAGTGTTGAAAATTCGAATCCCCTTCTTTATGCTGATTGCAGCAGATTTCTACACCTGCTTTGCAAGGAATGAGTATACGTCTTTGCTTTTCTTGATCCTGACTGCCTTTGGCTATCCCTATCCGTGCCGCCACCTGTTTAGTTGCAATGATGTTGCCTAGATCAGGTAAATAGGTGAAAGTGTTGACTTCCTTCAATTTTCTCCCGTTGATGATGGTGATAGCTGCTTGTTGTTGATTAGGTTAGGTGTCTTCATCACCTCTGTCTCCTATATGCTCCCCTGATACCCTGTATTTGCAACCTGCCAGTCTGTCTACCTCTTATTCCAACTTGTCAATTTCCACCTATAGATATTCCAGTTTGTGTGACATTAGATAAAAAAATCGTCCGCAAAATCCTAGTCTTCTTTTCGGTCCAACGTATTCCTATCTTTGGTCTTCCTACAGCATGATCCGATCCATCACAATCAGGAAGAAGATCATCAGTGATAGTGATAGGCAGTCTTTTCTTACTCCTGTATATCATAGTTATAATTTCTATTATAAGAATCAAACGCACACATGTGGGTCTGTGTCGATGGGCAAGGCGAAGTTAAACTTTAAGCACCCACCCACCAACTAACAATCAGCGAATGACCTCGAATGCACCAAACACGTGAAGGAGGCATTTTTGTGTATGGAATACATATATATTTATGAAGCGAAATGCATAAAAAACTGTAGATAAGTGTTAAAAAGGATACCTTCCTCTCACATGTGATAAAGGTAGCTCTCAGTTTTAGGTCGGAGTATATCAACAGATTATAATTCGATTGTGGGCAAAATTTATTTTGATAAAGTCTCACAGTGTTATGCAGTAATACTTAATGGGCAATAAATTATGCTCGCAACGTCATTAGTAAATATTACAGTATAACACTTATTTATTATTATTATATCCTTCAATTCCTAGAGGAACATAGGGCTTCAGCCACACGTCTCCATTGCCTTCTGTTTTCTGCCAACTTTTTCACCCCGCTCCAAGTCTGCCCACATGCTTTCATCGCCTATCCACATCACTTCCTCCAAGTCACCCTTGCACTGACGACCAACTCGCCGCTTCCCTTTCGGGATCCACTCGAGCAGTGGCTTGTCTAGTGATGTCACTTAATGGTTTCCTCAGAGTATGGCCACCAATCCACCTCCATTTCTTCCTGCTTATTTGTTTCACAATCGGTTCCTAGTTGGTTCACTCCCAGAGATTCCTGTTTCTGGTCTTTTCTGGCTGGCCATCTGATCTTGAGTAAAGTATTGAGCGAAGACAGCTGTTAATCAAGGTCTGTAGTTTGTTTGAGATGCTATTTATGACGCGCTGGCCAAGTCTCTGATCCACATGGTGAGTAGCACTGACTTCACATTGGAGTTGAAAATCCGGATCTTATTTTTCATGGTGAGTAGTGCTGTTGACCTCCATACAGACTTGAGAGTAGTGAAAGATTGTCTTGCTTTTCCGATTCTGGATTTGATATCCTCGTCAGTTCCGTCCACCTGTAGTTGAAACGATGCTTCCCAGGTAGGTAGGTGGGTAGGTAAAGGAGGTTGTTTATTTCAGGTTTCTCTCATTTATGCTCATTGTTGTCTGTTGTTGTTGCTGTTGGCCAGGAATCTTCATCGTCACTGTATAACACAGTGAGGATTAATCAAAATAAATGTTATCCACAATGGAACGATACTCTGTTGATATACTCCGACCTAAATCTGAGAGCTATTTTTATCACATGTGAAAGCAAGGTATCCTCTGTAACACTTTTCTACAGTTTTTTATTCATTTTCAAGTGTTGGTTTGTAGGGATTTGATTGGTTACAAGATTTCATCATGAGCTGACATTGGTTAGAGAACCATTGGAAAACCTACCAGGGAGTACTGGACAGCTGTTTCGTCCTAATTTGTGACTCTTTATCAGTACGCACCTACCGTCACTGTTCGAACCCAGGACCTTCTGGTTACAAGGCTAGCGAGCGCTCGTAGACCACTGAGCCAGTGGAAGGCGATCCAATGACCAGTCAGTCCATGAATTCTAACTCCTACCAGCCGATTCACGACATAGCACGACCATTTCGCAATGTCTTCTTCGATGAGTTACTGCCTCATCTTCAACCTGCTGTACCCTACTGGTCGCGGTTTCCCACTAGAACCCCAGTTAACTGACTGGGATAGTATTGGTTTTGTAGGGATTTTTGTTTGATTGCATTTTTTCTATAAATATATGTATTCCACACACACAAAAATGACTCCTTCACGTGATTGGTGCATTCGAGGTCATTCGCTGATTGTTAGTTGGTTGATGGGTGCTTAAAGTTTAACCGTGCCGACGGGAGTGTTAGATACTGAGATAGTTGGTAAGTTGCACTATTCTATGTAATAAAACTGACTATTCGGATATGTTGGTTACCACTTTGAGTAGATAAATAATAATTCAATGCAATTAAGTAGGCTGGTGATGAGAAGAGCAGAATGATGATTGGGGCTTTAGAATGACCAATCACTTATTACTTTTTTTCTCTCCTGATTTCTTCACGTTCCCAGTAATGGAACATAAGGCTCCAAGCTAGTAGTGGCTTCAAAAGTTCCTGTAGCAGTTGTTTATTTTTACAGGATGGGATTGCTAGCCAGCCTCATTCATGCCCAACCTTTCCTCCTTACCAGCTTTATTTCTGGTTTAGCGAGGTAAAGGGGGATGCGTCGGTGGCCGGGGATTGAATCCCAGATCATGTGCATAGTCGGCGAGCGTCCTAACCGCTGTGCCACCGATGCACACACTTTATTACTACACATAACTAAATATCTCTTGTCACTCATACAAACTGTTAGATAGTTGGAAGCAGTTGACAAGAAGCCTTGGCCTTGGGTTTTATTTATTTTTGATTTACAGCTTGATTCCACACTGTATTTTTGGTACAAGTATGGAATTTTCAGCATGGATATCGGTAGCCCAAATTTTGCAGGCCAACCATAGATATCAGGTGTGCGCCGGCGTGGGCTCGAACCCCGGACCATGTGCATGGTCGGCGAGAGTCCTAACCATTGTGTTTGTTAGCATATGACCGGCAAGATGGATCTGCAATCTTGAAGGAACTCCTGTCCCACTCCCACTGAACTGTTCGGGTTTATACAAACTCTTATTATATACGACTTCTTTAAGCCAGTGGTTATGCTCAATACATTAAACAACTTTTGAAAGCTTTATACACTTCATTTATTCCCCTTAATGAATTTGAATAAAACAAGGGTTTATGCAGAATAAGACAGTGCCATCGTGTATTTCGTCAGCTTCTCATTAGGTATCTACAGTCTACAGGAACTAATTAGCCGTAAATTTCACCAGTCAGCAGCACAACTGTAGACGTAAGTAAGGAGAGTTACCGTCATTGGCTGTTTGTTGCAAACAACGCTTCGCTTACTGAAATTACATACCTTTAGTAATCATATCATCAAGTGCCATTGACTGACTGATTTTTACAGTTTTGGCCAGGAAACCAATTCATTAGGCTGCTTGAAGGAATTCTAACGGGCTTCCAGTTAGTTTCAACTAAAAACAACACTCACGATTGTTGTGTGGACATCTATTGCTGCTAGACCTGAGTTCTGACTACACTACCTGCTGACTCTTTAGCTTGGTCCACCTAACTAGTTCTTTACAACACCCCGACTAGCGAAAAGAATCCAGGTTCGTATCCTGACAGCGATATACCGGCTTTTGTGAGTCAGTGGTACATCGGTAGAATGCTCACCAACTACGCTTCATATGGTCCAGGGTTCGACCTCCGGCCAACAAACGCACTCCTCCTTTACCTTGCTAAGCCAGTAGTACGGCAGGTAAAGAGGAAACGATGGGCATGAGATCAGCAGCAACCCCACCCCGTAAAAGTTAAAGACCACTGCTACCGAAACTTCAAGTCTCTGGCTGGAATCCGTATGTTCCACTAGGAACGTAAAGGAATCGTTTTTAAAAATGGCTGCTGAAGGGTGCATTTTTTTATGATGATGATGATTTGATGAGTGTATAGACACACAATTGCCCCACAACGAAGCTTCCGAGCTCTTGTCCCTTGAAAATCCACTAGTCGACCCTGTGTCTCAATTCGCATAGATAAGAGAATTGATTGTTGAAGGTTCGATAGACTTCACAGACTTATCTGATCTCCTACAAAAGATCAAGCAAGTAATTCAATTCTTTAGTGGTTTGAACCGGAATATTTGATCATAAAGAATAACTACATGATTAAGGTTAAGAGGACAGAGAGAGAGAGAGAGAGTAACTGTCACTCTATTATTATCCTATACTATAAATCTTCAATATGATAAAAACTATCCAAGCATCTTGTTATCAGAATTGTTCACCCTAGTTTGTTTGTTCTTTTTTTTTCTCTCCGGTTTCAGATCCAAGACACGCAGAAATTCAATCTATGATGCATGTCAATCTTCCATTCGATTGATTTGACCAGTACCTACTCATGTGTGTGTGTGTGGGTAGGTGGGTGTATGGGTCAGTGTGTATAATAATATTTCCCGATAAATTGCCAATCTCTTCGTCTATTTTATCACATTCACAAACAATGCTAACTCCTTTCTTTCAGCAACAACAACAACAACACTTCAATACATTCGAAAATATTTCCTTGTTTAGAAGATTAAAACTAATGAACCTCCTACTCTACTCTCCTCTCCTTTACTTTACTCCACCCTTTCGAAAAACAAGAAGAGAAAGAGAATCATTTTAATCTTTGTTTTTCATTGTATTTTGTTGAGCGTCTCGACACAGGGATTGTGTTGAATCAGGGGAGAATTATCATTATTATTCATCAATTTTGTACTGTATTGCCCTGTACTGTGTTGAATAATGCCCGAGAATATAAACTTCCCCCTTTCTCGGCACTGCCCCCCCCTCCTCGTCGCCGCCGCCGCCGCCGACTTACGGCTTATACAAATACAAAAAAACTTGAAACTTGTTTGACAAGAGATACACTTTTCCCCTCGAGTTAACAGCAACAACAAGAACAACAGAACATATTCTAAAAGAAGACAAAATCATACACAAGAGAATCAATTCTCAACAATCCTTCTTTTTATTTGCATCAATTGCGCCTAGTTATACATACATACATACATTGAGATAATCAGTGAGCATTTCCTTCATTTACCTATTTATTTGTAATTCAGTTTCCTTTTTCTCTCTTATTACAATCAGACATGTATGTGAGTGTGTGTGCGTGTATGATAAACAAGTATTTAGATGTGAGTGTCATGATGATTGGTGATTAGTTGTTTTGTTTTTCGTTTTTGTTTTCTTTTTTCTGTTAATTATAAATACACAAATATTTGAAGAAATGTTAATTCCTTCCAATCGAGTTTTCCTTGCTGTTTTTGTTTTTTTGCTTTTCGATGTCTTCCCCCCACACCCATCCACCCACCCACGCATATAAATTATTAGCTACCATAGGCTAGTTTACGCCGTCTCTGCCTTAGTAGACGTGATATCCGGCTGGCTATCGACCAAAGGGCGAGTGTACTGCTCAACAGTCCGTTCCGTCCTTCTTTATGGCTGTGAGCGAGACGTGGCCATTGAGAGTGGAAGACCTGAAAAAGGGGCCCGTGTTCTCTCCCCCGTTTGAAATGGTATATTAGGGTGAGCAAATATTTAGGTAGGCGTGAGTCGAGTGCTAGGTAAGGAGGGGGAAATCAATCGACGAGGGTGTGAAGCTGCATCGACTGAAATAGTTAGGACATGTACCACGTATACCTAGTCATCGCCTTCCTCGACTAACGGTCAATGTTAGCTGACATAGGGTCAGGCTGGAGAAGAGCTAGTGGTGGTCAAACCATAACATGGCTTCATCAGTCAGTGAAATCCATAACAGTTAGTTTAAGCTAGCCAGCCAGTCACATAGTGACGAAGGTGTAGACTTCCTCACTGGTTGGGGTCCTCGAGGCGGTAAAAACCAATGAAGGCTGGAGACAGTTGGTGATATGACTTAAAATCGTTCTCAATGGCTGGCGCGCAGATGCATCCGCTCCTTGCGACTTATAATACTGCCCAATGAAACTATATTGTTCTTCGTTATTACTATCCCTTTGTTTCACACCTCTGTTTACTGTCTATATCATGCATTTATTCTACTTTCCTCTCTTGCTTTGTGTGTTACAAGGAGGGAGGGAATGTGGCGACTTGTACTGGTGCACATCGGTGCAAAGTTTATGTCGAAAACAGACAGACATAAGCATGAGAAATCTTAATATATGTGTGTAAAAAGCCATTCGAAATTTAGACTAACGAATTCTTATGAACTAAAACATACAGATTAGATAATTTAAAATTAGATAATGAAGAAAAAAATGGTTAGTTGTGACATTGTCAGTTTATTTATACACGTATACCAATAATAAATATGGCTATAGAAGCAGTCAAAAAAACGAACTCATTTATGACCAAGAACTTGAACTTAGGACGGAAGTGCCACTTGAACACATAATGCTGGGAGTGCAGCTATGCCTAACTTCCACAGTATTTAAATTCCAAGGGAAAATATACAAACAAACTGAGGGAGTTGCCATGGAATCACACCAATATCACCGGTTGTAGCAGATATATTCATGGATAGGTGGGAAAACATAGCGATTGAAACGTTCAGTCCGACCACAAAAATATGGTGGAGGTATGTAGATGACACATTCACTGTACTTAGAACACAAGATATAGATAGATTTTTCGAACACATTAACTCAAAGGTAGAGGCAATTCAATTCACTCATGAATTGGAAAGTCAGGAAGGGGAGCTCCCAATGTTAGATCGCCTGTCTGTCTGTTTTCGACATAGAACTTTGCACAAATGTGCACCAGTTCAAGTCGCCACACTCCGTGTAGCACGCGAAGCAACAGAAGAAAGTACAAGAAAAGCATAATAGAGACAGTGAGCAGAGATGTGAGACAAAGGAGTAATAAAGAAATACAAAACAGTTTCATTGGAGATCATAAGTCACAAGGAGTGGATGCATCTGAGCCAGCCAGCCACTGAGAACGATTTTGAGCCATGTCACCAATTGTTTCCAACCATTGATTTTTACCGCCCCGAGGACCCCAGACTGGAAGTCTACACCTTCCTACGTGGCTTAGACCAACTGTTGTGAATTTTATTGACTGGTGCCAAGTTTCTGTTTGACCGCCACCAGCTTTTTTCCAGCCTGACCCTATATCCGCTAACATTGCTCGTCGAGGGAGGTGATGACTTGGCATACGTAACACATGTCCTAACCATCTCAGTCTTTGTAACTTCACGACTTCGTCGATTGATTTCCCCTGTTTAACTAGAACTCGACGCCTAACTTCAATGTTGCTCACCTTATTATGCCACTTTACACGGGAGATAGAGCGCAGTCACCTATGATCAAAGACAGCTAGTCTTTTCATGTCTTCCACTCTCAGTGGCCAGGTCTCACTGACAGCCATAAAGCAGGATGGAGCGGACTGATGAGCAGTACACCTGCCCTTTGGTCGATAGTCGAACATCTCGTCTACGCCAGAGTCGGCGTAAACTGGCAAACTGATCGCAGAGTAAAAAGGAAAGACGATGGCAAGTTAAACACTAGTGTTTACAGGAAACCCATACATTCACACAGATATTTGGACTTCCAATCATCCCATCCTATATCACTAAAAATAGGATTGGTAAAATGTTTAATTGACAGAGCACAAAAACTAAGTAGTACCAAGGAAAATCTAAGACAGGAAGTGAGACATATAAAAGAAGCCTTGAAACTTAATAATTACCCTGATAAATTAGTCAGAGAGTATGTAGGGCAATACAAAAATAAAATAAATAATGACGGTAGTGATAGTGATAGTAATATTATTGATGACATGTATGTCAAACATGCACAAGATCATGACGACAACAACAATAAGGAATCAAAATCATCAGTAGTAATTCAATACAAAGGAGGAACCTCGGAAACCTTACTCGCAATTCTTAACAAGGCAGGTATTGAAACCCACAAACTCGCATAGAAACAGGCTTTGTCGGTTAAAGGATCCTGTGGAGTCTTTAAAACAAAAAATTTAGTTTATCTAATACCCTGCCTGCGATGATTGTCAGATCAAATACATAGGTCAAAGTAGTAGAACAGGTGCGATCAGACTAGCCGAACATAAAAACCTAGGGGGAAAATCTAGATTAGTTGACTCGAATAAGATAAGAAATCTAGAGAATAGTTCAGCTATAGCACTACACCACATGCAATTACACGCAACCATACAATAGGATGGGATAAGATGACAGTTTTAAAATTTAATCTAATATAACAGGGTGGAGGAGGAGATTGATAACAGAAGCTTTGTTTATCGAATCAACTTAGAGTGAATACATGTAATAGGAATGATTCAACAGGTGTCCACTCAGATATCTGGAAAATTCTACTACCCACCGACGACGACAAATAGGAGAGGACAAACAAAACTATAAAACTCAAGTCTCGAAGTCGTGTGTGATTATAACTGATGGAATGATTATGAACAATGATGAATTGTGTTCGAAACATTGTCATCCACTAAATAATACTATTTCACTGACTGTGATACATCTAATAAACAAACCAACATGAGAAATCCCTTTTGTGATGACCAACCTATACATATATATATATATATATATATATATATATTAAATCAGAAAAATTATTGTGACCATTGTGTCTAAAAGTTCTAACGCGATGATACAGAAGAAAAAAGCATCTTTACCTTGGTGATGATCACTACTAACCTTATGTCTGATTAGAAATCACCTCGTGAAACATTTCCTGACAAGATTTGAGCATGGCATGAATCACAGTCTGTCTACAGTAATTCTGTTTTTCTCTAACAGTGAATATCGAGGCAGATACTGTTGCAGTCATAATTCAAGTTAAAATAAATTATAAGAAATCGCTGTAATTTTTATTTTTTGATTTACAGCTTGATTCCACACTGTATTTTTGGTACAAGTATGGAATTTTCAGCATGGATATCGGTAGCCCAAATTTTTCAGGCCGACCATAGATATCAGTTGTGCGCCGGTGTGGGCTCGAACCCCGGACCATGTGCATGGTCGGCGAGAGTCCTAACCACTGTGCCACCGACGCACAGATGACTGACTGGACATTTACCCCCTCCCCCCGAAAATTACCTGCGAGTTTGCGTTTCCCACAAACCGGCGCTTAAGATCAATCAAATATTAACATAGGTTACCATACTGATCTAATAAATGTGACTCTCACTGGTCTTCTTTCAGCTAAATAAATAACAATTATACACAACCTGTGCGTCAGTGGCACAGCGGTTAGGACGCTCGCCAACCATGCACATGGTTCTAGGTTCGATCCCCGGCCAACAGACGCACTCCGCTAACTCGCTAAACCAGTAATAAAGTTGGTAAAGAGAAAAGGTTAAGCATGAGGCCAACAGTGA